TAAGACTATAACTTAATGCTTTTTTCTTTTCTTTTTTTCTTTGGTTACTTCTTTTCTTTTTTATTTCTTAATGTTATTTTCTACTCTTTCAAATAGAGCAATTTCTAACTCTAAATATCATACATTGACATTACTTTGTCTTTGTAGTAAATATACTTTAAATACAAGATGTTAAAAAAGCTCTAATTTTACCATACTTATGTATATATCTATATACCTCTCTATACGTATTATATATGTATATATATATTGCACTGTAATGTTTTTTTTAAAGAACACTAGTACCTTGAAAAACCCATTGGAACTGACTCATTCTGGTGATCACAGGGTCACTCCAGAAAAATCATTAACACTGGAAAGCAAATAAGGTACTTTAAAGATGTGTGGTGAATTTATATGATTAATAATGCAGTCTTATCTTCCTGTTATGAAACTTCAGAAGAGAAGGCTGTACTTTATCTTCTATCTTTATGACAGTCAGAGATGGATGAGACAAAAAGGATATGGAAGAAATTCTCATTAGGATGTGGTCATTTCAATTATCTATTATTTGTGCATTTTTCAAATAGTATTTATTTGGTGTCTTGTTTTTAACTGTTAAGAAGAAAAATTAAACAGAAACCTTTAAGATGAGTGCACGTGGCTCATACCTGTAATCATAGCTACTCAGGAAGCTGAGCTCTGAGGATTGCAGCTCTAAGCCAGACAGGGAGAGGAAAGTCTGTGAGACTCTTATCTCCAAGTCTATCATAAGAAAACTGGAAGTGTCATTGTGGCTAAAGCCATAGAGTGCTAGGGTTCAGCATAGGAAGTTTGGGACAGCTCCCAGGCCAAGAGTTCAAGCCTCAGGAATGGCAAAGGAAAATTTAAAAACAAAATCTTAACATCTTAGAGCTACAATAACATTTTTTAAAAGATCAGATCCAGAAATAAGTAATGCATCATTAAAAAAGACATATTTACCAGTAGACATGTAAATAGCATTCTCTATACCTCAAGTGCATGTGCAATCTTAAAAGTTACTGGGCTACATTTTTATCAATTTTATGGATGGTTTCTTTCCCAGGTTCTAAGAATGGATACAGCCAAATTAATATTGGCGTGATTAATTACCCAAAAGTCATAAAATATCTATTACTGCATATGAAATGAAGAAAACTATAAATGTAATAAGGGGCATGAAAAGATTACCTTGATCTGAAATAAATTGTAATAGATCATATTGTCCTTTCATCCTAAACCCAACTGTATATGAGGAAAGGCTAAAATATTATGTGATGGGTTAAGAATAAGTCTCAATATCAGGTTGCTTGCCCTAGATGGACAATACCCTGATGATGATTCCTAGCATTGGAAAAAAATCATCAAAAATTATCTTAATTTCAACTATATTATCTGACATTAAACCATGAGATTGAAAATATAGAAAATGAGAGGGAAAAAATGAAATAAATCAGGGAAAGCTGTCAATCAAAATGATAGTCTGTCACCAAGATCATTCTCCACTCTACCTAGGAAGTATAATATCATAATCCATATTTCGCCTACAAACAAATCCAAATACCCAAAAACATAGTACATAGATGACCAAGTTATGAAAAACCATGTAAAATTTCTGATAAAATAAATTATGTACAGTACAAGTAATTGTCCAAAAAGACTGAACCAAATGAAAAGGAGGTGGGTTATACACCTGTAATTCCAGCTCCTTGATAGTAGAAGTAGGAGAATCACCAAAGGCAACTGGCCAACTATTGGGTAAAAACAGGAGACCTTACCTGAAAATACATTACAGAAGAAATAAAAAGTTCCAGAAATTTTAGCTACTCAGGAGTCTGAGATCTGAGGATCATGGTTCAAAGCTAGCCCTGGCAAGAAAAATCCATGAGATTCTTCCTTCTAAAAAATTACCACAAATGCCAGAAGCCAGAAGAGGAGCTGTGGCTTAAGTGGTAGAAGACTAGCCTTGAGCAAAAGCAGCTCATGGACAGTGTCCAGGCACTGAGTTCAAGCCACAAGAACAGCACAAAAAAAAAAGAAAAGAAAGAGAAGAGAAAGACAGAGACAAAGACAGAGGAGGAAAAGAAGAAAAGAACATAGATACATATTTCAAGTGATTACATGCTTTCTTAATAAGCTTAGGCTCTGAGTTTGAACTCCAGCAATATAAAAAATTACATTTTAATTGTATGCATTAACACCAAATCATAGACAGAAAGGCATTTCAGAAGGACTAAATATAATAGTGAAAGTGTAAGGTGACAATATAGATTTAGATGCATGTAATTTTATCATGGGTGAAGTGTTTCCATTGCTGTTATACAAAATCTGGTAAGAAGTATGTATCACTGAGAATATCACAAATGGATAATAAATAGAAAGTGCTAAAAATGGTTAATCCTTTTGTGAAAAAAGTTGCTAAAATAGAAACCTTGAGTACAAAAATGAATGAACTGCTTAGGTAGGTATTTCAAAATTAATTACCTCAAGTGGCAAAAAATATGCAGTCATTATGCAAACCTTCAATGAACTAAATCCAAAATATTTAAACTGGAGCCAGTGGGACATCTCAAATAGTAGAGTTTAAACTCCAGTATTGCCAAAATATTTAAATTAATATGTCATTTTACTGCACCAGATTGGCATAATAATTTTAGTTATAGTATCTAAAGTGAGCAATACATGGAAAAAGGGAAATTTCCCAGGTAAGGTTGATTCTACAATAGATTTTGGTTATATTTCAAAAGTCTCTAAAAAACATCTAGGCCCTTTGATGCAGCATTACCCCTTCTTAGGGATTAGTTTCAAGAAATGAGTTGTTTGAAAGTATTCCCTAAATCTCCTTTCCCAACTGAATGCTCAGTTTTGAAAGATACTCAGTATATAAACTGTTCATGATTGGGTCTGGGAAGGTGGCTCAGTGGTAGAGTACTTGCCTTGCATACATGAGGCCTTGGGTTTGACTCCTTATAAGCAAAAGAAGCAGAAAGTGGCTCTCTGGTTCAGTGGTAGAGTGCTAGCCTTGAGCTGAAGAGCTGAGGAATAGCACCCAGGCCCAGAGTTCAGGCTCCATTACATACACACATGCACGTGCATGTGCACACACACACACACACACACACACACACACACACACACACACAAAGAAGATCTATAGTCGAAAGTTTCAAGTCAGTATTTTTCTGTCTGGATATATGATTCTTTGACACAATAGTTCCATTAAAAGCACACAATACTTCTAAATATATTTGTCAGATACATGTTTCTATCATCACACTCTAAGTTTTTTGAAAGAATTATTGACAAACCAATTTTCTTTGTTGCTTTCTCCTTCCCCTAGATACTATTTCACAGTAAAAGTAGTCCATGAGACTGGTTTGCAACATGTGACTTGGGAAGCATAGGAAAATACATTTAATATAATCCTTGCCATTAAACAGACTTAATGGATTCTCTTGTTCAAAATTTCAATTATTGTTTTCATTTATTATGTAACATATACCACTTATTTTCCAAACTTTGCAAAAACATAAACATTTAGAATTTCTTTTGATTATTATATTTATGCTTGAAAGCTCTCCATCTATTACTGAGTTTATCTCCTTCCAGTGATACTAAAAAAAATGTAAAAGGATATTAATAACTTGTTTTATTCTAATCACTTTATTTTGGACTATACATTTAAGATGTGATCTTCCATATTGTACATTGTCTTCCCCATCTTATCAACAATATACTTTTTCACTTTGATTAATTACAGCAGCTTTTCAGTCTTCTTCAATGATAGTGGAACTCTTATCTGAACTTAAAGGAGGAAATCACTTGAAACTTAAATGTGGATTAAGTGTTGGGAGTCTTCTCTATTTCCAAATCATTCATATATATATATATATATATATATATGTATGTATGTATATAGTGAAAATACCGTACAGAGGGGTTACAATTACATGGGCAAGGTAATGAGTACATTTCTTATCAAGCATTGTTGCCTCCTCCTTTGTTTCCCCTTCCCATCCCTTCCCATCTTCCCCCTACCCACTCCCACCCACCTCCTACCTCAGCCAAAGTTGTAAAGTTCGTTTTTCGACATAACGACTTGTACTTCTCATTATTGCAATGGGTCCACCTGTATCCCTATTAAAACGATTTGTTTTTTCCCTTCCCCTCCACAAATTATACCAACATCAAATATTGTTTCTAACATATTTATAAGATGATTTCTATTTCCAAATCTTGAAATAATATTACCATGATAACAAATCTCAATATACATATTTAGGGCTAGATTTTCCAATGACATAATTTTATTTTTCAAATAGCATAGTTGGAGATGGACACAGGTGGCTCATGCCTGTAACCATGACTACTCAAAAGACTAAGGTCTTAAGATTCAAGTATCAAAGCCAGTATGACGAGGAAAGTCCAGGAGTATCCCCAATTAACCAACAGAAAGCCAGAAGTGGGGCTGTGGCTTAAATGATAGAATGTTACTTGAGAAATGGTTGAGCAAAAATAAGCTCTGGGTAGTGTCAAAGTTCTGAGTTCAAACCCCAGGAACCCCAGGACCAGCACACACACACACACACACACACACACACACACACACAGGCAAATGGCATAATTGGGTTTATCACACCAAATAGACATACACACAATACAGACATGTATTTTCAAATAGAAGTAAGGATCATGAAAGAACATATGAATATAAAAGATCATGTCGTGTATCTGCGCATTTGTTTATGAAGTCTTTTGTTTAACAAGTAAGCTCCACGGCAATAGTAAGTAGCTAATATGTCAGCTGTTATATTCTCAGGTATGCTGTACTTTATTGGCACACAATATATATTTGCTAACTGGATAAGTGGTGCAACAAACAACACAATTTTATTTCACAAAAATGTGCTATTTTTCACATAATTCATTCTTGCACAGATATGTATCTTTTGACTTAATTGAGACAGACTAACTATAACAATATTTCTTCTTTCTTCCAGATCCCAATTCCCTGGCTGGCCAGAATGGTCCTGACCACGCCCTCATAGGAGGAATAGTGGCAGTAGTTGTGTTTGTCACACTCTGTTCTATATTTTTGCTTGGTCGATATCTGGCAAGACATAAAGGTATGTTATAATGAAAGAGAGTGCCCTTCATTAGGACAACAAAATTCTAAAATTGCCTTAAAATTTGATGGATAGATATACATGTATGTGTGTATATGTATATACATCTACGTGTATATATGTGTATAGAAGAAAGGAGGAGGGAATGGTTTTTATACTAAATTATTTCAGGATATTCTTGGTCATATCATTCATATTCTATTATTTCCTTTTTAAAGTAAAACATACCACTAATAGGTAATGTATAATATTACACAAGATTTTTTAAATGTCCTCATTGTTATAGAAACACAAAAAGAACCAAACAAACAGATGCTTATAGATATCTTTTAGTCCTTAAGATAAATTATGAAATTTTATTCTTTCCCCCCCCCATATGCCAGGAGCCCATTTGTGAGCTTTCACAATTTTCTAAACAGTATTTTACTAAACCAGTCCAAGGTTGAATAAAAAATGACTTAAAGAATGAAATGACTTTCTGAATTTTCTTTAGGACTAAACTTTCAATTCTAACTAGGTGGTCAGTGTATTGTTTACAGGTTTATGGAAACACAAGTGGCCAGTCATATTACTTTTTTTTTTACTGAAAGAAATATGTAACATTCTTTGTTATGAAAAAGAGTCCACATTGACATTGCTTTCAAGCAGAATTACGAAAGTGAATGGGACACATTTGGCATGATCATTAGCTTCATCCTTGTTAACAAAGGATTCTGATTCCTACAGCCACATTATTATGTACTCTTTAGCAATCATTAAAGAAATAAAAATGTCATGTCCATTGCAGTTTGGCTCTTCCCTATCATTAACTCTTCCATAGCTACACCTGCCGAAAACTAAAAGAAGAGACCCAAATATAGAAGGGCGACTTCTGTAGTTTATTACATCTCAGAATATGTTCTAACATGTAAGGAATTCAACCAAAGTTCCTTACGAAACAAATCTAGTTTTGTTGCTGGTTATCTTATTAGACTTCTAGAAGTAACATCGTTTCCTTTCCATATCCACAGGAACCTATCTAACGAATGAAGCTAAAGGAGCTGAAGATGCGCCCGATGCTGACACAGCCATTATCAATGCTGAAGGCAGCCAAGTCAATGCGGAAGAGAAAAAAGAGTATTTCATTTAAAATTCAGGCCACAGTTCTGAGTTTTCCTTACCCGGCTGGCTGCTGGAGAAAACTGGCTATCATCTTTCAGAAAATCATTCCTACCATCTTCTGCTACTTTTATTAACATCCATACTGTACTGCTATCAGTAGCCAGTGTATGCCAACAATCAGTTGTTGAAAAGCATCATTTTTAATTACAGTACCATCCATAATGCAGGACATTCCTACTGCCTAAATTTCACACCATTGCTGTTTTAACACACAGTGCTTGAATATACAGCCTTAACAATGTTAATCATCTCCTCTGATCATGATATTGAGTTGTTTTTATACATTGAAAAAAAATGTATGCAGCGGTTCCCCACCCTCCATGCTTTTATTTAAATCATAGAATTTATTGGTTTACCATTGGACAGCTTTCACAGTAACAAGATTAGGTAAAGACCTAATATACTTAAGTTTAATCGAAGATTAGAGGTTTACAATGTTTTCTACTTGTCTATCTTCAAAGACATGTTTTGGAAACATATGCCCTAGAAAACACAATCTGAAAACACTGTAGTGTAGTTTACTGAGTGTTTGAGATTATACTGGTAATGCTGTATCAATTTACTATTTAACAAATTGAGAGTTTGATACAGGAGCCATGTGTATGGATATAATCATGACATGATATCTTATAGAACTATATAGACCCTATCATTAGGTTACTGTAGCTTCATTTACCAATAAATTATTCCAAACGTGTAACTACTTTGGGAATCACAATAATTTCATTCATTTCTCTCTTTGAAACTATAATTTATTTGCTCCATCCAGACTCACCTGCCTAAACAAAACCGAAGTATCCATAGGGCACAATTTTGAGACATTTTAGTATCTGTATATAGTGCATATAATAAATCCAATTAAACATTATTTGATACATATTTAACTTTTTTGGCTGTAGGTTATTCAGTCATAAGTAAGCATTTTCTAATGTCCATTCGATCTCTTTAGATATTACTTAAGTCAATATTATGAGTAGATAACATGTATTAGTATTTTTGTCTGTATGTCCTCGCACTGTTCAACAACAAATTTTTCTAGTTCTTGTTAATTTTTATTTGTTATACAACGGAAGCACAATGTTCTAAGGAAAGGTAATTTTAAGCTAACAACCAGTGCACAGCCTCAGGTTTTCAATTACAACCACAGTTGAATAATAACCTAAAAATAAACTTTTAGTTTGCTAAAAACTTACAAAATTTGATTTGGCAGTTCTAGATCTGCTAACCTATGTTGATTTGCCAAAAAAGTGTTCAAGATATGTTTTCTGTATAAATGAACTAATTCTTTATATTAAATTCCTGTCTATGCATTTTGTGAGGTACAAACTTATGACACAGTGAGTGATAGAGAAATTCTGCCATGCTTTTAACTCCAAGGTGAAAGTCTCTTTCTCTGGATTATTTAAAAACAATTGTGTATTTAACCACTATGAAATGCTGTATTCTTAAATATGACACAGAGTCAGTCTAAAGTCTTATTTCTTCTAGTAAAATGCAATATCACTAGATTAGTTTTCAGTAAATTTCTATTATGCTAAATTAAAAATCCAGTTAGATTAAAAATATTTTCCCAATTATAAGCACTGCACCTTTAAGAAAAAAACAAATATGACAAAAATGGTTGCTATTCTTATGACATCTGACAGTATGATGGCTTAGGGTTTTAAAAACAATACCTTGGAATATATTTTTGCGGGGAATGATAATGGTTGAGTACAACATCATGTATTAATACAAAATGAAAGACGAAGGTGCTGTATCTTAGGTTATTTATCAGAAAAGTATAAACCTTTAAGGATAATGTTAGAATTTTTCAGGGTTTTTTGTTGTTTTTTGATTGTTGAAGCATTTATCTTGTTGATTTCGTACAAGAGATAAAGGACGATGTCAGTCAAGCAGCACTTTTTTCAAAATATACAGAACATAAATAATATGATGTGGTTGAGTGTTAACATAATAAATCATATACAGTATGACATTTTAAGGAAATAAGTCTGCATTGATGTGATTGCATGCTTGTTTTTTACAGTTCACTACATACCATCTGTGGAAAAATGCAATAATATGTTAATATAGTATGGTAGTTTGAGAGAATCAGGTAGGTGCTACTAGACACATTGAAACTAGAATAGGTTTATACTGTTCATATCTTTCAATGCATAATATTTAGAAAGACTCCACAAAGCAAAATTCATCCTGTTAGTACAAAATAAAAGGGTTCTTACTGCAGAAGTATTCTGTATAAACTGCATCATCAATTACTATTTAAAGCCTAATTTCAGGATGCACTTACAAAATTGCTCCTCTTCATTGATGCTGTATTTACATTCCTCTTCATTTCATCTATATTCTACTTGGCTCCAACTGCTAAATTGTTGCCTAAATAACTCAATCCTTATTTATAGCTCTTGTAAAATTAGAACTCCAAACTTGGTTACATTTCAAATTTTGACTCTTTTTAACCCCTCTGAGTAATATAAAAATCTTATTAGAACTCATAAAAAATAGATTGAAATTTATGGAAATGTTTTTCAATTTGATATACTTAGTTTGAATTGATATCATTTTCTGCAATAGGACAAAAGAATGAATGAAATATCCTTCCAATAATTAAAAGTGATTTGACTTTTCACAAATGAAATCAATCCTAAAAATCATGTTTATGTCCATCCCAACAGATCAGGAAAAAACTAAAAAGAGATAAGATTTCTAAATGGGACATGTGTCCATTGAGAAGTATGAAATGCACACGCTGTAGACAGGAGGATCCACTTGTTGTCTCTGCTAAGTGAGCACAGTAGCTACAGACTCAATGGAATTCATGTGCAAACACACCCAGTAGAATATGGATCATTGTCCTTTACCAAAAATAGCTATTCTCTGCCAGTGTACTGTTTACAGTGTAAATTGATTGTTCTCCATCAAAAGCTGATCAAAACAACATTTCTCTTTTCCATTTTTTAATGTCGTAGGTAGAATCAAAATTCATAAGAAAAGGAAAAGTTTGTGAGTACAGGGGTAAAGACAGTCAATTGGCGTATGGATGATGATGAAGTTGTGTGAATGTGTGTGAATGTGTGTATGTATGACAATATGAGAAGAAGTGGAATAGAAAAGACAGAGATAGACTAAAAACTAGGAGAGAGAGAGAGAGAGAGAGAGAGAGAGAGAGAGAGAGAGAGAGAGAACTTCAACTTGTTTTCTTTCACCAGAAAATCCAAGAAGCAGTTTAAGGAACCTGATATTGGAGCTTAATATAGAAACTGGATGATCTCATGTTGATTCAAGATGCTTACTCTTTCATTGAAACTCCACAATTAAAATAACATAAAGAAAGTTAACTTTCCTCATTATGGAAAAGAAGCTAACATCCATTTATTTTTGTTTTGATATAAAAGTATAGATATCTCAATGAAAAGGACAGGCTCACTTGTAATTATGTACTCACGATTGTAACAGCATTGAGGTTCCATATAGGCACATGTACAGCAGCTGTTTCACAGTGATGGCTCTTCCATGTAACATAGCAGTTATAGTGTAATTTAGTGCCACTTATTGCAAAGTGTTACCAAGGGGAACATGAAAAAATGCTTTCTTCTTTTATTTTGGACATAATGACAAGTGGATGACAAATATCAAATTTCACATTGTTTTATTATTTTTTAATTGTGGAGAACATGCAAAACCTCATGTCTTACTGCAACTTTCTCATGGTACATATAATTACTTAGAACCCTCTAAAATACTCTGTTATTATTATTCTGTTTTGCAAATGGCAATCTATGATGAATATTAAAAACGAAAAGAGTTTAAACTGTAATCAGAGTTGAAATAAATGAGACACCTAATGAGAATTACTGATGAGTAATGCTTTTTGTTAAGTGGCACAAAGTACACACTAAAAACTATGCAAAATATAGGTAACTACAGTATATGTACATGTAATTATCTTGTACTTGCTGTGTATGGATGTTGGAAACCCATGTAATTATAATATGCATTTTGAATACTGGGAAAGAGGAAACCTTAGTGTAGATAATAGAATTTGTTTTGAAATATATACACTGGCAATATTGAAATAGATTCAGTGCAATATCTACAATTCTATTGCTGGAAACCTAATGCAAAGGGATTTTCAAGAATTCTTAAACAAAATCCAAGAGATTGCTCCCCTTCACATTTCATATACTAATACATGACTCAAAAACACACCTAACTCAAAAAGTTGTTTCTTAAATATTAATGTAACATAATAAAATTGTTTGGTTTAGTTTTTAGCATTACTATAGAGAAAGAAATAATCTGGAATTAAACTTTGATTCAAAACTCATAGAAATTATTAAACGTTCTTTGAAATGTGTATTTGTTACTAGATTGCAGTACTCTTATTCTGAGTGCAAGATTATTCGATGAAAGAACATCAGGTACATATCATAGTTAAAGTAACTATATATTAATTGGAATTGTGTGGGTTTTCATTTTTTCTCTTTTCTATCCCTATTATAACCCAAACACACCCTTTGCACTTATACCCTTCCAAAGGCAATGCATTAAAGTAACAAGATAAGAAAGTGTGTTAAATGGGTCATCAATAAGAATGGATTTTTAAATCATCAGCATTTTATGTATTGAGGTTATTAATATTGAATGCAATAGTTATTGGATATAGCTGGTAATTTCTCTGCCATGCATACTTACAATAATCCTTCTACCTCTCACTTTTAACATGGGCTATATAAATAGAGGAAATAAATATTTACAAGATATCCCAGGAAGCATTATTTTGGGATTTTTCATAACAATGCACTCCCCGCCCGCTGGGAAATCTCAAAAGCCAACTTCTTGTAGTGTATTCTATGGTGTATGAATCTGCGTTTGTTTCCCTTCTCTCTACCGTTAACTTTTCCTATAGGTAAAATATGATCACTTGGTAAGGATAGTTTACATGTCTGTTTAATATTCACTGTAATGTAATTGTGATTTTTAAAATAATTTGAAAGGCAACACTTTGCAGTCCAATCTGATATTTCATTTCATTTTTTAAAAGGAAACACTTTCTTACAAATCAATGCTGCGTTTTAAGTGAAAATCACGTATATTATTTATTTTCCTAAGAAGTGTTATCTATGTAAACAAAAAATATTTTTAAACTGCCTCCTCATTAACAGATAACCCTGAAAATGCAAAGTATTGCCATTAATACCAATATATTTTGTCTACGTAGGCACAATATAATTTTGTTTTTCAATGGGTGATTTAAATAACTGAAAAGAAAATTTTATTTTATGACCATATTTTCCTCTAGGAAAAGAAAGCATACATAAATTTCTCAGATTTGGTGGTGAATCTATCAGTTATTCTTGAAGTGAAATGTGGCTATGTTAAGTTGTAGGTTAAAAATCAATACATGATAGAATCTTTACCATCTTTTTCATATGTGTGTGTATATATATACATCTATGTGTGTGTGTATATATATATATCTATATATCTATATATCCAAGAAATGTATGATTATTTTGGAGAGAATGGGCCCAAATGTGAAAAAGATGTAAAGAAAACAAACTATTTTCCCCTCTGAAATATACTGTATATTTCAAAAGAAGTCAAGTTTAAAAATATATGATTTGCAGGGGCAAAGCAAAACCTACCAGGGCTCAGCACTTAAGCACTTTTCCCACATTCAGGGTCAAAGCAGCAATGATTCCTACACGGACTTTTCAGTGCAGTACTAAACGCAACATAACACTTACACACAGTACTGTCTAACCTCAAACGCTTTCTTTCTTTTAGTGCTTTTCCTTGTACATGAAACTAGTTGACACTTCTATTTATATTTGCGCATAGTGAAGGTCATATGCAATAAACTATGGATGGTTGAAAGGAGTGGTCACTAATTGGTTATAAAGATTATAGAATGTGAACAGAATTGTTATATATTTCTCCTTCTGTTTTCCTCTGTGTTTCTAATGTGTTGAACGAATATCATAAATAGAAAAATAATCTGAAAAATTTTCAAAGCTAGTAGTATTTATCCTTATGAATGTGTAAGAACTCAGTATTTTGCAATTCATTTAACTGTACCTGTTGTACTTATTGTAGATTCAATGATGCAGTTAAGTAGTAAGCCGAGGATTTCTGAGTTTGGGATTGCTGATCTATTTTCTTCATATTCAGTTCACATCAGTATTTGTGAGTGGTTGTTTAGTGTTTCATTCAACCAAAAAGTATTTCGTCAAGAAAGCTCCATTTTTGTCATAAATATTTCAACCTTGGAACAAGTCTGCCATGTTAAAAAGAATTTAAAGACTTATCTCTAAAAAATGATACCCAGATATGCAGGTGTTCCCAGTAATGTAGCTTCAAAAATAAAATATTTTATTTCTATGACATGAAATACATAACTTTTGGAAGGGTATATTTATGATAGCATTAAAGAAAAGTATTCTGTGCTGTAAAGACTATTCATCAAAATTAAATATGTTGCACAGAAAACAAACACTATTATCAAATCTACTTGTAATTCACATTTTCAAACAAAATGCATATTGTAATATGAGGTACATGACACTTGCATGTTGATATGCCTATATACTTACAAAGTATTCAATGTGTACTTAGTGGCACTTAAAATATGTCATGTACAACTCTTATAAACATTCTTACAGGGTTCCCATTGGCACTACATCTTTCAGTAAAGTCTTGTCAGAAAAATATTGTCCAAGAAATATGAAATAATAAAATTTCAATTTTAGTTGTCTGTTGAACATTACTGAATTCCCTATTCATTTAGCACATTTTCTTAAGCTTAAAAACAGACATTGAAAGATGGAACTTTCTTTTATTCTAGTGACAGCTTAAAGATGTTGCAAGGATTTCTTTATGTCAAAGATATTATTTTGGTAACATTTTCAAATGCATACATTACCCACCCTTTTTAGGTTTCCTCATGCTGACCATTTTTGTTATACATTTTTAAGGAGAA